AATTATTTATAAAACTATAAACTAATAAAATTATAAATAAAAGTAGTAACTTTAACAAAATTATTGAATCATAACCTCAACCTAAAATGAAGTTTTCAGTACAGACTACACAAAGTGCAGTTGGAGATACGAAAATTTTATTGGACAACGCTTTTCAATGCATTATTTTTTATTTTTTAATTTTTATTATTTTAAAACTATATGAATTATTTACTAAAATAAATATTAAATAGGGATTAGTATTTATACGTTTTATTTCTAAAAAATTATGAGGAAAAATAATAAAAAATACTTTAATTTATATTTTAAAAATAAAATATTTTAATTTTTTAAATAAATATTTATTAAAATAATATAATTTTAAAATAATATTTTTCTTAATTTTTAAAAGGTAAAGTGATAAGTTCTATTTTTTATTAAATATATAAAATATATTTTATATATATTTAAGGTGTTAAAAGGTAAAAAAAAATTTCGGCTACAATTACAAATCAAATTAAACCGAAGGTACCAAAAACATGATGCTTCAGCAGTTCGGTTATGTCTGAAGGATATTTTGGTCATAACACTGATAAAATTGATAAAAATTATTATATCGTTAGAAGGTATAAATTTTCCTGCCAAACCCGAAATTCTTTCAACTGCTGAAGAAAGGAAGGAATTCATCAACCTCCTTCATTTATTTTTAAGTACGTGCAGTTTCTTTTGTAATTGAAATCTAGCTTTGTGCTCTTTTCTTTTTCTTCATTTTTTTTTCTTTCTATTTTTTTTTTTAAGTGTTGGGCTTGGGTAATGGTTTGCTCACCAGGTGTTTGATATTATGTCTGTTTAAGTTTCATGCTGACTTTTGGGTTAATTTTCTTGGAAAAGTTGCAGTTGACATACCATTAGAGTTCTCTTCAAATGATTCATCTTTTATCAAGAACAGGTTGTCAAAACTCAAAAAGATTTGACAAGCAATAATCTAGAATTCTACATGGTAGTGGAAATTTATGACTGAAACAGTTATGGGAATGTTAAGATAATTTGTACCAGATTGGTCAAATTTGGTGTCCTAGACTACCCTCCTTTTATGTTTTATTTTTATTTTTTTGTGTGTGTCACTGTGTCTGCGAGCAATAGGTGTGAATTCAGATGGTGGCTAATTATAATAATAATAAGGTCTTTAGAAAATGTTAGCACGCTTTGGGAAAAGGATATGAGATGAACAGACCGGCACTGCTGTTCATTACTTTATTCAAGGAGGTTGAAGAGGCAATGCTTACATATCCTCATTGTGATGAAAACAGAGGAATTGGCAAATTTGGGAATGA